GGCTACTCAAACACAGTCTCCTTCCTCCCAAACTTGGATATTAATCAGAATTAATACCACAGATTTTAATTAATATCACAATGAGTATTGACAATTCCATGTGACAAACTGTGGTAAATACTATTTTATACCGTCATACAACCATCTCCCGGAGCAACACATAGTTGTTTTGCCTACCAAAAGGATTAAATAGCTCCCAGGCATGATGTCATCAAAGCATTTTCACACTTTTATTATGTTCGACAAAGTGATACTCTAGCCACTTAGTAATCTACACAATTCGCAGGAATTCCAATTAGTTTGGTTCTTGGAAAATCATTTGACATGTCATAAACATTTGCATTTAACCAAACACTTCTGAAGAATTTCCATTTGAATGACCATTTCCATATAATTTGAAAATTATTTGTCTGAACACCATTTGAGGTATCCAAATGCTATTTTGTGTCACATTCTTGCTTAATGAATGAAACTTAAATTATAATTTTTTTCCTAGAAGCAGTCCTCATTAGTTCAATTGTCGCTCAAATAAACTACAAAATAATCACATTTCCCTCAAAATTTCCACCGTAACCAGGTTGGAAAATTTTCATCTTCATTATATCTAAAAACTCATTCCGTAAAGCGTACGTGACTAATTTGAGTACAAGTGATTTATTATTGAATTTGTGAATATTTCACAAACAATGTAGAATTTATAAAATAGGTCATGACGTGTAGTCTTGTATACTCTTTGTTGCCATAATAAATATTTCAAAAAAAAAGTAGCAGCAAAATGAAAATTTTCCTTATTTACTGACACAAGAAATACCGCAATTTCTTCTTCTTCTTCTGCTTATTTTTCACCTCACACATAATTATGTTGTGAAATCATAAAGTAATTTGATTATGCTTCACAATTTTCTTTTGTGGCTTGAAATGAGAATGACGAAAAGGGGGTCATTTATAAATGATGTCTAACATCCAGTTGGGGGTCAGATGCAGTGCAAATCTTCAAGATCAAAGTTAATTTTTGCATTGACCGAAGGTAAACTGAGTTTAAAAATCTAATTCTTTAATAGACATCATTTATGAACCACCCCACAAGAAAAGAATTTTTTCGAAAGAGGTAAAAATTATCATTCATTCCTGGATATGATGATATTCAGCGCGCATATATGAATAAATTTTTTATGAGATTTTAAATGAACGAAGGAACTTCATATTATGTTACAACATAAATTTCCTCATACTCGTTCAAAAAAAATAAGAAATATATCATTCCACATGTGAAATTTTTGCCTTCTTGTTCTCCATCATGGCAAGGCAAAATTACGCATCAAATGATGCTCTTCATTTTAATATAAAACTTTTTTTTCCAGCGAAAATGCTCACATGTCGGAAGTGGAAATGATGACAATGACAGTTATTAGTGTCATTTGTGTGTTGAGTGAATATTCTCATCATTTTAGCTTCTTTTTTTCATCATCTCGCGAGAATTTCCTTGTCATTGCGTTTGAAATTTCGAAGCATAAATTTCTATTAAGCATGTATCTTCTTATTCTCTGAATGATACCTGAAGCAGTAATTCTAATACGTTGAAAAAGAGCTGTATACAACTTGAAACCAAGAATTGTAAGAAGATCCCTCTTACCTCTGGCTATGCCTTTTGTGATGTAGTAAATTTCTGTATGACTCCGTAGTCAACGACCATCTTCACAATTTGAAATTCCTAAAACATTTAGAGTCTTGCACGCAGCTTTAGGAACCACTTTGTAAAAGTATTAATGTGGAGACAGTTTGACACAAAGCTAAATATTCTAGATATCCATTTATTTACTCAAAGGAGTTCACTCTATTGTGGATATGGCTCGAAATCTGTAGTAGATAGGCCTGATCATAGGGCTCGCGTTGAACTGGTTATATGTGTATGACGGATAGTCAAAGTGAGATAAGTACCTCGGTGGGCGAGTGGCACGGATCACTGATCAAGTTGAGGTCGTGGGTTCGATTCCCATCGAACCCGACTTGATTTACATTAGTATACACATATGGCAATTATAGGGAGATCTATATCTTTACTATAGAACAAGATCCCATACTGCTTCTCTATTGCCATCCAAAAGTTACATTCCATCCCTCTTGATTCATTAAACGATTCGTTAAATGTCCAAACTAGTTTTATGTGTTGATTGTTTTTGAAAATTTATAAGGACATTGAACTGAGTTTTTGATTCTATTGCATTTTAGTCTAGTCAATATTTTTGCAGATTCTGCGTTGCTAAACTTGCTTATCATTCAAAGCTGATTTATCGTCTGTATGCTGTTCCATAAATTGAAAGCTGCTCAACTGCACCACAATTGAGTCTCGTTCACTCAGAATTTAAATAGTTTTATTTTTTTAATCCACGAATAAGTTTAAAAATTACAATGGCTTCTCGACGAAGTCACAATCCAACGTTCAGCGCTACATTATTCCATCATATTACTCATATGATTAAAAAGGCACAAAATTAATGCTATAACACGGGAAATTACTTTCGCACAACATTATTCAGTCTCATAATTGTAATATTTCACATCCTTACTCTTTCGCTAAATGAGTGCTGTGCAAAATAAAATTAAAAATTTTTTTGTTCGTACTCGCTTTTCGCAATGTGTAGTGTAATAAATTGACTTGGATGTACGTTCATGCATATATATCTGTAGATACATAGAATTTTATGTAAAATGAGATGAGATAGAAAATTGTCTGAAAATTGAGAATTTCCATTTTTTTTGTGTGTTTTACCGCCCGAAAAATAGAAAGAAAGATCCATAAATGGAAAAAAAGGAGGGGGAAAATGAAAAGAAAAATCTGAAATCAATTATTTTAAATTATGACATTCGTTATCGTTTTACTCGGTAGAATCGTATCCTTGGGTTGATTACTTTTGATTCATCTTCTTGGGAATGAAGTGTGTGTGGGGTGGATGGAAAAATAATTGAAAATGAACATTGGAAGTCAATGGTGCTGAATAGAAATCATTTTAAAATGTAAAGTTATTAGCTGGTGAGGAAGTAGATTGGAACGAACAAAGAAGATCAATTTGAAGTGGATGTTAAGGAAATGGTTGATGATGATTGAAAATTTATTAATTAACTTAAGGATTCAAGGATTTTGAGGGTTACTCTGTCATGAATTATACATGAAAAATGGATTTTTGACCTCCTACAACCTTAATCCAGCTCTAACAATCCCAACCTTCCTCCATTCGTAGATCCAACGGTTAACGACCTCTAAAACGATGAATAAAATGTTCAATCACATAATAGCAACCACTTGTGCTAAGTACCTCACCCCATACCAGCTCTAAATCACCATTTGATTTCCTTGCGGCCCCTACAAACACCAATAATGCATCTCCATAGATATCAAAGTTAAATCCATTGAAAACGATAACGATAGTCATAAAAATCAAAGTTTATGCATCCATGAGAATGAAATGAAAGGAAATTCGAGGAAATGCAGATTGCAAATAAAATAAAATGAAGGAAATTTCCTTTCGAATGAAACATTGAAATTGAATGAATATTTTCCCATGATTTTTTTTTGTTATCTGTGTCTCAATATCTCCCAGCAACCACCAACACAAAAAAAACCTAAGTTGAAATTATTTTTTTCCTACTTCAATCTTTTGGAATGCGAAGAAACTCATTGACATGGAAGAAGTAATTTTCATTTTTTTTTTGTGAATCTTTATGTAATAACAATTTTCCCTGCAACATTTTTTTTTATTTCACTTACTTCTTATTCTATCTTGCTGTCTTTATACATATTTCTTTACATACATAATATTGATATTGCATTTCATTGCATCACATGCCATCCTACAATGCCAAAACAATTTCTTTTTCCTTTGGGGAAAATTTAAGGGAGGGATTCATTGATGTCAAAAAGTTGTCAGTTGCTTGTATGTGAGGTTGCAACTTAGGGCTGGTCTAAGTATTCTCTAATATACATATTTTAGTTCTCAATAAAGACACTAGGGATAGTCTACAAAAAACTGGATCTGAATTTAATATTTGTTGATCAAGTCAAGAAGCTAAAGAGCTAAGAGTTGGACAACAAAACTAATCCCATCTCCTTGGTTAACATTTTCCATTCTGATAAAAAAATTTCTCCACGAATCATTTAAAAATCCCTTCCTAAAACTACGGCACAGATCTGGCTCTTTGCTGAAAAGAATAAAGTCGAAAAGCAAAGAATTAAGGGCATTAGGGCTATGCCCCTACCAAGCACTGAGCCAGCTATCTCCTTGTTGATTAGGATACAGTCAGGGAGCAATTATTCTTGTCGTTAAGGACAAAATATTATTTTGGCGTTCCTTGAATGTAGTTCCACTCCCCTTAACTGTTCTTTGGGATATTTAAAAGTTTTTGATGATACCTGGGGTCAAGACTTAACTGCTGAATCTCAATTTTTTTATGAAACAAACATAACCTGCAAATCAACTGATACTTCATAATTAATTATGTTTTGACACCATCCATGGACTTGATGAACATTAAAAACAATCTTAATAGTTTTAAGAACACAGTAAAAGGTCCAGAAAATTTAAAGAATCTATCCCACATTCCTTTATTAGTAACATCAATGTCTAGCAACATGTAACAACTTTTTGACCGAACCAAAAATCCCGACAGAATTTTCCCCACAGACACTCCATTCTATACTCTTTTGGGTTGGTGACAAACTTTTTTTTATATTTCTTTATTTCTTGTGCTACCCCTTTTTGGATGTGAGAAATAAAATTACTGAGTTCTTCTTTCATTTTTCCAATTCCTTTTCCCTTTCTTTTTTTTAAACAGCCACCATTCAGAGTATCAAAATGATCTCTTAAATGGTTAATAAAAAAAAAATCCTCAAATTATTTTCATCAGTTCCATTATTGGATATTATAAAGTCATTTATTTTATCTTTTTTTCTCTTCCCATTTTTTTTTCTACTACAAAATTTTCTGTTAAAAATTATTAAGTAGTCCCATCGCCATCACCACGAATAATGTCACCCATGGGCTTTGCTGTACATCGACAAGCACGCCACATTGCATCAGTAATGGATGAGAACTCAATGTATGGCGAAGACTGGGACTATTATGGTGAGGATGCACCACCAATGTCATATATTAAACCAGTTCCAATTTGGCTTTGTGTCTTTCTTGTCATTGGTTACATTCTTGGTGGTGCATTTCTGTTCAAAGAGTGGGAGAAATGGGATTTCCTCGATGCCGCTTATTTCTGCTTCATTACACTTACAACAATTGGTGAGTTTTACGCGACTGGGACTTTTTTTTGTAATTTATTTTTATATCTCCGAAAAAAAATCTCATAAGACGATGGAAACGATGAAACTTTATCATTCTCATGATGCATTACGATTGCAAATTGAAAAAGTTTATCATTTCATTGAAATTTTTCTTAAATCTCATTTTTCATTTTCATTTCTTCTTCTTCTCCTTCTTTTTATGCATGTGATAGGATTTGGAGATTTCGTTCCAGCGCAAGGTAAGCTTATCATCAACGTTGTCATCATCACCACATTAAAACTCTCTTATCCTTTCTCATTTCAATAACTATTTAGGTGCAAAAGAGAATCCAGAAATTTCTATAGCTTTATGTTCTGTTTATCTACTGTTTGGCATCGCTCTACTTGCTATGAGCTTTAATTTAGTGCAAGAAGAAGTTATTGCGAAGGTTAAGAGTGTCGCAAGACGACTTGGCATCATCAAAGATGATGAAGAGCAGGAATAACGTTTTGTTTGTGGACATTAGGATAATATCAGCATTTTTGAAAGTCTAGTTGATTAATTTTTAGTTTGGACTTTTTTGAGTTTGAAAAATGATGGAACGGTTGAGTAAGGTTGAGTTTTGAGGAATTTGATTGGATTTCAAGTTTAATTAAAGTTTTTATAGCTTGAATTCATTTGCTAATGATATAAAGTGCCCTTAATTTAATGTGTTACCTTATGTACCCACATCCTTTATACTAGAGGCACCAATCAACAGATTTAACTCTTGTCAATTTAAAATAATCATCCAAAATATTTCCGTTCATTTGAAAAATCTGTACCTATACCAAAAGATAACTGGAGACACCAATTTTTAGTACTAGGCTAGTGATTCTCAAACTGTGCAGCCCCTGAAACACTTATTCAGTGTTAATGAATTTATGAATTTCGCCAAATATTTTACAGCTCGTTTGAATGCTTTAGCGACACAGTGTGCATAGTGGAGCAAAGTTTGAGAAGCACTGCATTTATAGCATGTCAATACTCCTGTCTTCACGACACAAACAAAATTTAACTACAGAACTAGGCAGTGCTAGAGCAAAAAATTAATCCAGCTCCCCTTCTTGATACAGCACTAGAACTAGATTTGAGAACTTAATTTGACAAAAGATCAACCACAAAAATTATCATATCAATAACTTGACCACCATCGTTCCAACAAAGCTCAAAAAAGTCTTTAAGTGCCTGAATATAATTTTTTTTCATCCCACTTCGCATTGCCATTAAGAAGCTTCTCAAGAAATTTATGATTATAACCAGAAGGAGCGCACATACAAAAAATTTACTTCCTTATTACTTTTCTTCGTTTCATTTTTATGAGATTTATGTTTTTCCATCTTTATCCACTAAGATGTGTGGAAAAAAAATAAATATTTGTTCCATCCATGTGCTGAAAATTGTTTTCATTTCATATCATATCATTATTATTTGAGAAGTTTATCATGAACATGTGGTATCTCCACATATTACATTACTATCCTCTTAATATGACATATTAATGTGAACCATATATTATTTATTGAATAATAATTTTCTATTAAATCCATTCATTATTGTTTTTATTACAATAAAAAAGCTTGATTTTTTTATATACTACTAGCACATCTCGTTAAATGAAAAGGAATTCAATATATCAAATAATTATTATTGATTTATACATTAAAATAAAAAGATGAATTATGTTAAGAAGAAGCACTTAATAAAAATTTTTGAAAGGTTATAAAAATCTTTTCTGTTTATTTTAATTCCAGATTTATTTTTCCATGGAGATGAAAGAAGTGGGAAAAGTTTGAATGAAGGTGGAAATGGAATTTTTACTTTCTTGTTTGATTTAGTGTTATTGCAGGTGGATTCTTTTAAGTGAGTTGATATTGTGGGATTGAAGAATTTTCAAGGTCTTGAAATGAAGTTTTGATTACTTTTTAACAGCTCGAAGTCGATGAAATTTTGTATGGAGTCGACTCCGTCATCCAAAATCGATTAAAATCTTGAGTTAACTTTGAGCTGCTTTTTAAGGGATCATCATCTTAAGTTCATTCTTATAAATCATGCAAATTATTAATGGCATATGCTTGATTGAAATTCATAAATGGGAAGTTTGGTCCCAAAATCATGTCTCTGCTTACGCGCCTCAACAAAAATAATACAGCAATTCTTTTACTTTGCCCGTAGGTTGCATAAAAATAAACACGCACTCGACCAGCGAGCAAACCAAATCAAATACATTTCTATTTATTTAATTTTTCATACAATTTAAACTATAATTACCTCCGCAAACTCATTCAATTAAAAAACTTAAAGTACTAAAAACCAAAGATCATTAAAATTGTACAGAAAAAATATCTTTTATTGAATTCTTTTTTATTCATTTTGAAATTAGAAAAGCGAGAGAGAATAGGAAATAAGTTAAATAAACTATGCAAGCAATCATCATAGACCACATTAAAATAAACATAGATTTTTTAATTAACTCGAGAAAAAAAAATGAATTTCTTGAGATGAATTATTTTTTTTTCTTTTGTTTGATTGAGTTTGAGGAAGACCCTTGGATGAAGTTTTTGTGGAATTTTGGGTAAATATTAAGAAAGAATTTCTAAGACTGAATTCAGTGAGTTTAAAGATTCAGCGAAAATTCCTCAAAATTAAAATAAATCTTAACAAATTTTTATCAAGAATTTCAGCATAAAAATACCCTCAAGTAATTTAAATGTTTTTTCAAAACAATAAAACGAACGAATAAAATCCTATTGTACATGAAATATACCATTAAAAAATATTTAAAGGTGAACTCATGATTCATAATTTTTTCACAACTTTAATAAGCGTGCGAGTGCGGTCGAATGAAATGTTTTTCATATTTTAGAGGGAAATTTCAAATTTGTTTTTTAACTCATTTTTATTGTTAGAGAAAACATCATAAATTTTAATAAGTCGACACTATAAATTAGTCATAAAATGGTTATTAATAATGAAATCTTCTACTGCTCGATTATTTTTATTTTCACGATTTTATGCTTTTAATAATTTTCATTCAGAATAAGAAAGAAATATAATTTTGGGAGAGTAGACATAGCTTGTATAATTTGATGGGAATTGCTTAAAGTTGCTTAAGATAAGCGCTCCTTTAAGACATGTCGCACTGAGTATAGTGGGGCCATAGCTCGATGGTTCGAAACCTCTCTCGACTGAAAAATTGCTCTAATATTTTGATAATTAACCAAAGGTGAGAACCAGGTTGAATATTATTTTCAGTCGGTTTTTTCATAAATTCTTAAATATATTAAATCACATGGTCACTCCCTCCTTAAGTTCAAACAGTTAAAATCACCTATAAAATCAAGGAAGTCGTCATCAAATCATTTAAACTCCTTTTATTTCAGCTATTTTGCATTATTTTGCATGACAACTAAACTTAATAGCACAAATAAGCACACGCGTGCCTTAGATTTTCGCAAGAATGACCAAGACTCATAGCTCAACTCATTGATCAACCATCTTAAAGGGTCTCAAAAAAAGTTTCTTTTCATTAATTTTCCAATTTTAGATAAAGAAAAGAATAACGAGATTTATGCCTCACCATTAAATCGGCTTTTATGATTTACATACAAGTGTGGTAAGTAGAAGGGCAAAAAAAACATTAGGACACGAAAAATATTGGACAGTAAATGAATGAATAAACATTTCATTTTTCACGGTAATGCTTTTGCCTACATGTGTAGACCCAAATAAAAAAATTATGTGTAAAAAATTCACCTTCGTCAGCTGAATAATAAATAAAATAAAGATCATTTTCATACGCATGAGCTAGGGATGAGATACTTCTTAGGTTTGTGGTTCCTTCAAAAAAAAATTTTTTTTCTTCCTGAAAAATCACAAATTTCATGACTTTTTAACCCCAAAAATCTTCTTCCCTTTCCACATCCCAACATAAACATGAAAGATGCGTACGAAAATGCCATCGACAGCAAGAGAGAAGTAAATTATTACTGACACATTTATATGCTTTAATGATATAAAAACAAAACATCAATTTTTCATCTCCCTTTTTCGGTACATTTCATTGATGCTTACGAATATGAGTATTTAAACAGGCGGAAATGTTTTAAATGTTTTATATTGGAATCAATTTATTTTTTGCAGCAATTTTTCATTCACTTTATTCTTGTTAAATTGAATGTATGGTTTAATTTGAGTAAGCTTTTTTGATATAATGATTGTTTGTTGTGTCGAGGGGGTTGCGTGGGTTGAACTTGGAGTTAAAAATGTGTAATTTATTGAATTTGAGTGAAATTTTAACTTTCTTGGAAATTAATTTTAAATTAGGAATTTGAATGTGCATTTATTTATTCAATAAGCATTTTGTGAGCAAGATTAAGAGCTTGAATAGTTGATAAGTAGGAAAGCTAATACTGGGATGTGGACCGTTGGCATGATTGACAAGTAAGTATTAAATTTTCCATAGTTTTAGTCATTTTTAATCAAATTAAAACTTTTGCTCTCAATGATTGGATTTGACACATCATTGTTTATCTTTCGGGCTATAACCACGACCAGATCCCTCTCTCCATCCTTCTTGAAGGGAAATTAATAGTGGCATTAAGGCACGAAGTAATAAATTTTTTTACTAGCCCTTAAAAGTATTCTGGATAACTCAATGAAGTAAATACTCTAAAATTAAAAAATCCATTTCAAAATTTTCATTTTTTTAAAATCTCAGCCCTCAAATCTCATCACTTAAATCCATCAAAAAATAAACAGTCTTGAAACTATATTTTTAAACTTTATTACACGGCTCATAAGCAAACTCATCATAATGAAAATATAAAATTACATTTTTACAATTCATTCATTTCTTTCACAAAATGTAATACTCAAAAGTTTCAGTCTCAGCTAATATTTGTGTAGGTAGCAGCAAAGAGACTACAACAAGATTTCGATAGAAAACCTTATGGCAAGGTCACATTTAATAGGTGGAAAATTAATTCGAGTGAAGAAGAATAAATCAACTCTCAAGTAGAAGTCTTGACAATATTTTTTCAGGTACATGACAAGTCAAAACACTCATCATAGTGATTTCACAACATGAGATGAGAGAAAAGTGGAACAAACATAAGATGTAGATCGAGTGCTGATGTTGATTTGATTTGACATTTGTTTCTCTCTATTCTTTATGATATCCTTGAAATATTTTTTCTTTTCTTTTTCACACTTGTGCGTGTGCTGCCATAAATACATTTTTGTCTCATTCCATCTTTCCACTTTCAGCATATCGCTCATCATCATCAATGGCATTGTCTCTCTGTTTTATATGTTTGATGATATTTCGCATCATCAAAAAGTGTGTAAGCGATCTCAATTCTCTTGACTTTTTAATTTCATCTTTGTGCATATGGATGAATGTTTAGATCTCTCTTGTTGCTGACTATAATTTTATGGATGAGTGAATGAATGAAGGAATTTGTTCTCACTCTCTTTTTCACATTCGTGGGGTAGGAATTGTTGGGATATGTGCTAGTTCCTAGAGAAAATGACTGTTATTCAATGACTATAGGTTAATGACATGTCAATGGCTTTGATGCTTATACAGAAAATCTATCCCTGCACTCTATTTAGTTCTTTGCCAACTTTTTCTCGGGAAATTGGATATTTCTCTAAAACTTTAAAAATTCCAAAATTCTCAAGGAACAAAAGCGTTCCAAGACTAAAACAATTAATAACTTGCATTCAAGGGTGCGGAACTGAAGAAATGATCAAAATAAAATGTATTAATTCCACACCCTTGCTTGCATTAAGTCCCCCGAAAATGCGCTTTATTCCCTCTGAATTTTCCAACTTGTTCTCTCGCTCACATTGACTTACTCGCTTGTATCAAAACACAATCAGCTGAAAAACATCTTGGTGACACTTTCTTTATTTAAAATGAAACTGTTTTTCAGCTTCCTTGCTAGCATTATTATTTTTATTATTACTTACAATCGCTATGCTGTTGATGATGTTACAGACAGTATTTCCTTCCTGTAAGTAGCAGTAGTAACAAATAAATTGTTAAAATGGCAATAATTCATGTCACTTTTGTGCACAAATGAAACATTTTCTTGACATAAAGCATTCTTTCTCATTCTCGCATATAAACACACATTCGTCCTCTTCTTCCACCAACTACTTCCTTCATTCTTGGTTTATTGCTTTTGCTGTTTTAAAAAAACATAGACAGAATCATGTGCGATGAAGAAAAAATTTGAAAACATGAAATTAATTAAATAATTCTTGTGGCATGCGAGTAGAAAATTGTGAATGATGTGAATGTGAGTTTTAAGATCATAAATTATAATTTTTACGTTCATACTTGTTTTTCTTCCTCTTCTTCTCATCATATTCATCTCCCATGCTGATTACAATT